AAACATGGAGGGAGGGCGTTTGGCTGCCAAGGGCCCTTGAATTGTGGTGGTTGTTGTGGTGGTGGTGGTGGGGGAGCCCTCGTGAACGTTTTGCCCAGGGGCCCACACAACCCATAATCCGTCCCTGCTGATATGATCACATATACTATTAACCACGTAATGCATGTTTATTTTTTTCAGTTGCCTAACAAAGGAGCTAGCCTACCGGAGCTCAGTCCTCTTCATTGGCTAACCTATTTCACGCCAGACTAGCTTGCTTCTTGTTAAGCTTAATGGAAGGCTATTGCCTAAGTCAGGCAGGCTGTATGGAGATGTTTAAATAGCGGTTTAGTTTCACAACAGTGACAAACAGGCTTGTGCGGTTTCACAGAAGTACACACATTCACTTGTTGGGGTTTACCCCACGCTACTAACTGAGAATTGATACTCTGGATCAAGTATAAATACTAAAATATAAAATTAGAAAAAGAAATTTAAGAAAATCTGCACTTTAAAAAAAAAAAGCAATATGAAAAAATGTACTGTGTGCTGAAGGCTTTTCCATCAAGAATACAATAAAGAAATACCCAATACGTGATTCATGGATTAAGCGTTCTTAAGTGTGCTTATTAGATGCTCAGTGTTTCTGGTTGGCTTACCACACCCCTCAGTTTTACCATACTCCTCACATTTAGTGCACCAGACACATCATTTCCATGTTATGTTGTGCGTTCAGCTGGACTCCGTGGAAGACGACCTTCTAGGAATTCAACCTTCCAGGTCTCAGTCAGGCGAGGTGGAGTAGGAGATCTCCAGCCTGGGGTGACGAGGGCTCATGTCGCAATCAGCGTCTGTCTCATTGACGCGTGCTTCCAGAACATGGTGGAAGCCCGTCAGGATGGAGTGTAAGGCACTGTGGTGGACTTTGGCACCCTGAAGACGGAGACGTTGCCCTGCCCTGCCCAGGCAGCGGAGCGCATGAACAAGGCGGATGCCCGGCTGTGGGCCTTAAAGAAGAGGCTGGAGGAGCTGGAGGAGAGCAGGCAGAGAAGGATGTCCTGCGAGCCTGGGAGCGAGCGGAGTGGAACACGCATGGGATGGAGGATCATCTGGAGGAGCTGCATGGCGTCATAGTGTGACACAGAGATCAGGGGGAGCTTGGAGGAGCTTGGAGGAGCTTGCATCCCCCATGTACTGTTGTACTGTTGGTGGGAGGGGCAGCTGCCCGCTGTGGAGAAGCTTTGCATCTTATCAAACACCTGTCAACCGACATAAGCAGCATCCAGCAGAGGATGCAAGAGCTCATCCTGCAGGTCCTGCAGACGGGAGACTGTGTTTCATAATGATCAATATTTATTTGCTCTTATGGCCGCACTTGTTTTGCCGTTTGCAGAACTTCAAGTTCATATGGACCTGAAGTTGAGGGTTATTCAAAGTTCTCACAAACTCACAAACCCACAGCATGACTCACCTGTAATGGGCAGGGGGGATTTCAGAAGTGAAACCACAAAAGAAAAAACTTTGATTGACTTTTTTTTGTTTTCTTCCTGTCATGGTGCACGCCATTGTGCAGGAAGATGGGCAGGCTAGGGCTGCTTCCTGTGTGTGTAGCACAAGCATGAATACCACCTATTCTCATCCTGTTCTCAGAAACAGTTAATTTCACAGAAAAAAAATCAGCTTAACAAGCATTAGAATGCAATATATTTTACACAATATTGCTGTGTTCAGCATCTTGTGTTCAGTTTGTTAGAAACAAGTCAGTCTGGAGCAAAACAAACAAATCCATCCTATTTAAAGCCTGATTTAAAGACTAGCAAGGGGAAACAGTCAAGGAAACAGGCTATTTTACTGTAGCAAACAGAACACTGCACACATAAAGGTATAATTGGTTATGAATAATATTAACATTTATTTAGAAGATGATTTTGGGCAAACTGGCTTACAAGCAAAGGGCCTTGCGAAAGGGCCCAAGAGTACTATCACTAACCACAGGATGTGAACCAGCAACCTTCTGGTGACAGGCACAGGGCCACACACCACACAGCATAGTGATGTTCTGTATGTTTTTAGGTGTCTTGGGCTGCATCACGGCTGTGGCATGATGTCACAGTGTGTCTGTTTGATCCTGTGCAGTTTGAGAGCCTCTGGGATGTGCTGGGGAGGCTGGAGGGCTGGAGGGCCGGAGGGCGCAGGTTCAGGTGGGGAAGCTGGAGGTGGATGTGGAGGGCAGCATTGGTGCGGTTGCACGAGAGGTGGATGTTGGCAAGTGGATTCGCAACCTGCTAGCAGGAAGCATTTAGCGGGCGTCAGCCCTTAAGGCTCATCAGAGCATTACAGCCAGGAGGCGGAGAAGGTACGGTGGGGTGCAACCGAGCTGGAGGAGGCTGACTGTTAGCTAGCAGTGCACCTCTGGGTCCTGGAGGATGGCTGCTCCTGGATGCTCAAGACGGTGACCATCACCTCCATCCTGAAGCCCAAGATGGCCGCCATCCACTAGTTGCTGACTGTGCTGGAGCAGCTGCTGAGTGACCTGACCCTGCGCGTTGGCCACCTGACCTGGGATTTGGGGCACAAGGTGGAGGACGTTGATCTGCTGCAGGATGCCAGCACCAGCCTCAGCGCCTCCCAGCAGCTGATCGCGCTGGTGCCCGATGACAGACTCGTCCCCACAGAGACGCATCACACGATGCCTGCAAGTTAAAGCGGAATCACAATGCAAACTTCAACGGTGATCAACATTATCATAAAGTCAAGTACTACTAGCACTGAAGTCCATGTACAATAAAAGTTCTTGTATCCAGGGAGCGTTGGGACTGAGGTAATGAAATGAAATGTCTTGATTCTTGAAATGTCTTGTTGAAAATTCTTGAAGCTGGATATTTGATGGAACACAAAAGAGATCATGAGGATACAATGGCAGAACAAGTGGAAAGACGACTAAAGCACGCCGTTCTGTAAGCATGCACAGGAATTCGCAATTATTGAAGTGTTATTTCTAATCTTCATACTGATGTTTCAGAATTGTTACTTGAATGCAGATATAACAGCTTTTACTATATCCTCTAATTAATATTAATAGAAAAATCTAATTTATTTATGCACTGCTCAATAATCAATTGTTTTTTCTTCGTTTTTTTCCCTCTTTCGCACTGAAAGTAGCAAACAGGAAATGACTGGAGCATGTTTTCGACTATCATGCCTCGATAGTTTCGATCCTCCTGTGTGACACATATGTTTTTATCAGATGATAAGAATTATCTCTTGTAGCTGCAAAGTAATTATTATAATTTTAAATTCTGGCAAGGGGGGAATTCACCAATTTGACTGTAACAGAATTACAGCAATTCTGTCTCATATCCTTTCTTTTAACATAAATACATATTAATTTGCAATTTTTAAAGATACAAGTGTGGTGCCCTGCGGACCAACAACACTGCGTCATATTATGTCAGCCAATCGTGGATAGTGGGTAGGATCACCAATCATATGATGTCGTACTGCTAAAGCATCATCGATTCTGTCGACTACGTTCGGAGTATGTGACCATCTTTTGCCAAGAGGTGGATGATTTACAGCATCTACTGTTGTCCGTGTATAATGACATCTATGATCTAGTCCTCAAATATAAGATGATCCCAGGTTTTTAATTGTTTGAAAAAAAACCCGTCTTATATTCAGAACAGTTTGGTATGTATTTTTTGAATATTGTCAATAGCCAATAATGGCACAGACATTGCTGAGAATGGGACTGATCCTGAGGAAGGGGTTTTTAAAATACAGGCATGACATGTAACCCTCCTCATAAACAGCCCACCAGTCAGTGTGTAGTCAGTGAAATAATATGTCAAATTTACATGTTAACTTTAATCCCCAAGAACGTGTCTGCTGGCTTTCTCTGATGGCCATCAAGAGTGAGCTGACGAAGTCGTTGGACTTTAATGACATTATACATGAATTCGCACAGCGATAAGTCCAGAAGAGATGCATTTAATATGTGGATAGAAATGAGCGATTTCTTGGTTGACATAAGTTATTCGTATGATATACGTTATATATATACGTTTCAGATCAGATTCTGTGTGAGTTATTTGTTCAAAAAGTGATGTTTCATGAATAAAAATGTAGTATAGTTTTTAGTGCAACCTTTGTACCACAGCTGATTTGTGTGCGTGCAGTGCGGGGGGGGGGAGGGCCTTTCTCGTCGTCTGGCCCAGGGGCCCACGGACTCATAGTCCGTCACTGCCCACAGGGCGGCCCTGTTGGTATAGTCACGGGTGTTATATTACGACTTAGTGACATCACTAAGTCACAAATGACCAAAACAAGTAAAAATAATTAATATGGAAACTATATATTTATTAATATTTTGTTTGCTAATTTTGTCTTTGTTTTTGTTGTAATGGTAAAGGTCAGGTTCTCCACTAGGCGGTGGTGGTACTTTTGGTATGTAAAGTTAATGCCAAATCTCGCGTGAGCAGCGGGATTAATTAGAGCTGCGGTATTCTTTTCCGCCTCTAGCGAGACAGTTCAATCTCCATGTATCTGCGCAAGTTTTCAGGTTAATAAAGTTCGCTGCCTGGTTATACCTGATGTAGTGAAGTTACTACAGTTTTGTACTAAAATATTACACACCTCTTTGTTTTTGGGTTTTTTTTTTTTACAATATATGCCTATAAAAGGTCATTGGTAACGAGTCACATAAGTAAAAAGAATTCCTTTATTAATTACACACATATCGAAATATTCATTCAAAATAAACAAATACATGGCAAAATGGATGATGATGTTATAATACCAGCAACACACTGCTGGATGTGCCGCTGCAAAGCTCCCCCTTTCCACTCGCTCACCAGGCGTGAATATGAAGACTGGGAGATTGTCCCGTCCTGTGGGGAAATCCCTTAGTAAGCACTTAGCTATTGTTAGTAGGCAACCACGTTAACATTATACATTACACCTGCAGAATTACTGATCCCTTTGAAAAAAATATAAGCTCAAACTTAACTAATATAAGCCACCATTAGCACTTGTAACAAATTGGCAAGCCAAAAGGAAATACTTACCAAAGATTCATCCTACCTCCAATGACGCAAACACTCAAAAGCATTGACACAATGAGATCTACAATGTGATTGGACAAATCTTAACACATCATATATTTTATGCTTGTGTAGTTGCTTCTTTTTCATTTAAACACATATAAGGGAAAATGACACAGTTGAATCTGAGGTAGTGATAACAGCGAGCTCTTAATTGATACATTAGTTAATAATTTAATAATGATACATTTGCCATCTGTCAACAGCTCATCCTGGCACAAGTGACTGAACTGCTTTTGCTATTAATTTGATACATTTCTGGGAATCCCTTGATGGAGGCATTACTGCTGTAGGTAACAAAGTGGATTCACCTCTGCTGAACGTACCTGTATCTTACTGCCAGAACCAGGAGGAGCACTGCAAACACTCCTATTACTACAACAGCAGCTGTAGGACAAAGAACACGATATTAACAGATGACTCGTCAGAATCATACTGAACCACCTGCAAACACAGGTCTCCTGTTTGTCTAAATTCTGACACAAAAGAATCCTCACTGGTCTATGTTGTACATTGTGCTCAATCCTACCTTACAATATATATTCAAATGTATGTAAGACTGGAACAATCTCATCATCGTAACAGGCGTCATTACTGAATGGAGTTTCCATAGCATTTCACTCACCCGTTCATCAAGCTTACTAAAGGAATTCAAGTTGGTGTTAAATTGTGTAACAGCTATTAATCGCTGCGCTCGAGACAAAAACCATTTAGTGCTGTGTCTGAGGATGCCTTGATGGAGTTCCTCTTACCAATGAATCCATGAGTTGTTGTTTCTTGTCCATCATCCAAGTTGCCTAGGGACACAGAGACAAAGAAGGAAAAAATTTTGATACTGAAAGTTGGCGTTAAATTGCATAACAAGGCTATAGATGACTGGGCTCAGGACAAAAACCATTTAGTGTTCTGTCTCAGGACGCCTTGGAGGAGTTCCACTCACTCACCAGTGAATCCACGAGTTGTCATCTCTTCTTGTCTATCATCCAAGTTCACTAGGGACACAGAGAAAAGTGGTGACTTTTGAAACGGAAATGATACAGCATGCAAATACTACTCACAAAAATTCCCAGATGTAACTCATGCATGCAGGATGTGCCCCACACAACTGGGACCTTTGTGGCTTAGGTAACAGTAACACACAAAGATACAGTACAATGGTAGATTACCTACAAATCTGTATCCGTGGACCTGAGTGGCATGAGGGAGAAAGTGAGATTCAGATGTGAGAGGTATTTCAATCAGTGTTGCTTAAGTCTTAAACATATGACGGAAAATTGAGTCATGACGTATTCAGACTAATGGACAAGTCTGAATCAAAAAGCAGAAAATCTTCCTTTAAAAATCCCCATGTCCCCAATAATGTCTAAAATTTAAAAAGATCAGCTTCCTTTCTGATATTTACATAAAAACAAATTTATGTTTTGCATAGAAATTTCTGTTGTCATGAACTAAAAATGTATAGTTTTGTTCACAAGTGGGTCATTTTCCTCAAGAGAACATAGTTTGTTCACTTCGAACAAACATGAATAACTTGAAATGACGTTGGTAACATTTTATGCTGGTTTTACAATAAAAACAACTTTAAAAGTGATTTCAATGTCACAGACAATTTTCCAGTGCTGGAATAAAATCATGAGTTTTGCTGGAGTTCAGATGCACTTTTGTCACCTTGATCATCTGGTATGAGAAGGTCAGAATTGCTATCTTAAGTCATTCTTGATTTCGTCTTGACATTCCAATAAAATCAACAGTATTTATTATTTTAAGTCATGGCTCATGCAAATAGTAACATTGACATTGTCAATAACCAAAACATGAACTCTCTCCAGCACCAAATAGTGAACCTGCAAGATCCCCAGTCTTTGCAAAATCATAGTCTGTGACAAGAAACTCTGTAACTAAAGACACATTGTCTTTAGATGTGATACAGTGTCAGACTTTGGTCTTTAAAACATCTTTTTAGAATCTTCCCAAAGTCTTCAAGTGCATGGTTCTCATTTGTTTCAGTCAAACCTGGTCACAGTGCAGCATCAGCGTAAGGTTGGCACATTCCTTCATCCAGATCTCTTGTGCTGTGAGGTCAAGCACAGGAGGACTGATGTCGGTGTCCCCCTTCGGGTAATACCCTACTGGAAGTGAACCATTCTGAAAAAAGAGAAGGCACATATTTTTCATCAGAGACTCATCAGACCAGGCAACATTTTTCCAGTCTTCAACTGTCCAATTTTGGTGAGCTCGTGCAAATTGTAGCCTCTTTTTCTTATTTGT